AAAAATTTTGTATTGTTCGATACATATGCGTACCGAACCGAAAGCACTGTATCGAACGGTTCAATATAGATACGAGTATTGTTGCACCCCTAGTAAGCACATATGTTAAAACCGACCAAAAGGTTGCTTTTCCTCGACAGCAGTAAGTGAAAGTAAAGCACCTAGTGTAACTCTGGTGTGAAAATACAGTCTCCTGTTCATCAGTTATTCCCTCTCATGAGGAAAATGCTTATTGCCAATTCATGAGCAAAATCCTTTAAAAATTAGGATTCCTTTAATGGACATTTTTTTATGAATATAAATATTTAATCTGGAGCAAAAGTAGTATTATTTATTATTATTTTTAACCTTTCTTAGGTTATTCCTTTTTTTCAGGCTGCTCGATGAGTTTGCCCTTGTGGTACTTTTGTCCGATTCCGTAGGGGACGTGTGCGGATATGGTTCCCAGTTCCGTGGCCCCTTCAATATGGAACATCTGGTCGTCAAAGAAGATGTGCGGCCTGATCTTCTGAAGCAGGGGCCCTTTCGGAGCCCCCGCCAGGAAGAGAGCCTCGTCGATCTCCAGGCCCCAGCTGCGGAGGGTCTTCAAGACCCGAGCTCCAGAGCTGGCAGCGCTGCGGGCCGTGACCAGGAAGGTTCGGATGGGGCAGTTCAAACGCTCGTTCTTGGCATAGAATTTTCTCTGGAGCTTTCCCAGGGCCTCCAGGAAACACTTTAATGGTCCCTGAAAGAGTCAAAGAATAAAAGTAAATTGAATTTAAAATGAGGACTATGAAGGTAAAAAGCTGTGTGTGATAGGTTAGATTTGAAGAAATCCACTGCAATGTGTTTGCTTTTATTTACATAGAGCCCTCTCTCTTTTAAATCATCTTTCTATTCGATGGATGGTTGCAATAGGTGAAGAACATCACAGTTACTGAAAAACTGCTACTACTTGTAATCTGGACTGATAATACAGATAGTATATACACAACCACAAGCACACACAAGGAAAATAAATGCTTCAGATGATGTGAAACATATTTACAAACTCACAAGGGGGTTCGTAAACCCCACAGATAATTCTCAGAGCGTAATATGCTCATATCAGCAGCTTGCACTGTAATTAATGAGGAATCTAGTAGGGTGCATTAGTATGCGGTGACAGCCAGTACTGTCTACTGATACTGAGTCAGCTTCTGAAACAACAGTTCACCATGACTGCACAGTGAAACTATCTACAAAAACAAAGAGTAAAACACTTGTTAAAAAGTGTGAATGGCTACACTTATAGTATTTGACTAGTGGCTCAGTCATGCAACAGTAAATACAGGACAACATCCTAATAACATAAGGATCATCAGCAGTTGCCTGGTGATAGCATTGATTTTTTGGGGGGGATATGGCGTTCAATTACAAGTAGCATGGAACACTTTCAGCTTTTGGGTGACCACTTTTGATTGCAAGGTAATTGCACAGGTTGCCTGCTGGGAAGCAACCTGTCTCCAACATGTTGCAATGGATCTGAGTCAGTCTGCACAGATGGACAGAATATATATATCTGCAATAGGGGACGTAGTCATATGCCAACTGGTTGTATTTTGATTATGTTGCCACATCCTGCAGCAACTATGTCAGTATTTGTGGAGGGATTTTTGTTCTCTGAGGTTCTGTCTAGATTCTAAATGTAAGCAGTTAATGTGAATTTCTGTGTATGTTGTTACACACCTCTGCAACCACCATTGTCTTTTGGCTGAATTGCCAATTGATCACACCTTGTGAGGTGTGGGTACATGCATGCCTGAGACAGGTTTGGAGGTTTATGGGCAAAGCCCATCTTCTATTTTATGTAAGCTATAATTATGCACTCTCTCTGTGTCCTTAAACTTTTTGAAAATGCTCACTTCTTGTTTCCTGAAGAACAAAATAAAAAGGAAGAAAAAAATCATCAGTGATGTAGGAGAAGATGGAAACAACCATATGTTACCTGAGCGAGAGGTTTGTTCTCAAACTGTTTCTCGTGCTCAAAGAAAGAGTCCAGGCCATGCTGCTTCACGATGATCTCTGACTCGTCGGAGAAGAGGACAGCGTCACCATCAAACGCCACTCTCAACTGAGTGCCGCTTAGCTCCAGCTCTGTGTCCGGCGTGAACATTGTGGCAGCAGCAATTCCTGATGAAAGGTAAGCGAAGCAAGGATTAAAATCTCTAAACAGTAGATAGTATGTACACAATAAATTGAGCCTATCAAGAGCCCTTAATTCACTTTGTTTTAAATAAATATCATGGTAACACACAAGCTTATTCTGTGTTAATTTGAATGGTGGGCGGGCTGTAAATCTCATGCTGCCTTCAACCAGCTATTTCTTGCAGTTTACTATGAAGTTGAGATTTCCCTCTGAAGCGTGAATGAGTCACAAAGTCAACATTGAGGCTTGTAAATATAAGAAGTGCTCAAACATCTTGAAGGTGGTGAAGGAAGTCCAAGACTCTGCAAAGTACTGATTAAAATATTAGACCAACATCACTTACCTTCATCTATGGCCTCTATGACTTTGTCTGCACTTTTGGAGAGGTAAAGATTTGTCAGGTAGGCCTTCAGGTAACCAATAGGACTCTTCCCTCCTGTCATGCAGAATCTTTCTATGGTCAAATCTGAAGCAAGGAGAAAAAACAAGTAAGATGTGCAGAAAAAGAAAGACTTCCTCATTTTAGATGCGCAATTGCTAGACTTGATCCAACATCACACTCAACACTCAGACCTCGACGCAGCATACCATAGTGATTAATGCTGTTAATGAGGCGCACGCCCACTTGGGCATGGTTGTTGGTCATTAAGACGATATCAAACAGCTCCTCGTTGTCTGGATAGAGCTCCCTCAGTCGAGTGTTGACGTTCATCAGCGCCTTAAGAAAGCACAAGAAAACAAACCATGTTATACACCCAAAGCAAGGATATTGCATATGAGTCCTCAACAGAAGTAACCACTATTCTTTTGGTTAAATCGCACTTTTAAAGCAATGCAGAACCAAGTCAGTGCGTCTCGGATGCTTGCTATGGGTACGCATTAGAGCGCTGAGGATTTTGTGCACCTATCCACGAGGAAGCAGAATGGTTCAAGGGTTAAAGACAATTAACCTTTAGCACTTAATTTGCACTACTTCTCAAAGTCACAGCTTGGTCAGATCTGCACACAGAAAGGTTACGCACATATTTTTAGATTCTGTGGGATACTTTCCTGAGACATTACTCTGATGTCTGCCATAAAATGTCCATAAATCTTCTGAGGGCTCACAGCGAGACAGGTCATCACGATTTCACATTTTCTCCAGTATCAAAGCAACTGAATGATAGTTTCCTGTATATCATTTGTTATAATTTTAATGGAGCTAATTTGCCAAAAATGGGAACAAATATAAACTTTATAGAGCGATGATTGGTTGGTGATACATAGCAAATGGGTGCACCGGCAGTGCGGCCAGCAATGACTTAATAGATAAATTCCTAGCTGGCTTGACCTTTACTATACATCATTCATCACATTCTTGTCTGTCTTTACTTTTAACTACTTTGTGAAAAAAGAAGAAAAAAAAACTTCCTACAACATTATAATTCTTGATGCCATGAATATTTTTTCCCCCCTTGATCTTCATCCTTCAGCTGCTCCCTTTAGGTGTTGGCACAGTGGATCATTCACCTTCATCTCACCCTATCCCTAGCCACCTCCTCTTTCACGCCAGCTCTTTCACACTGCATCCAGGAACCTTCTCTGAGGTCCTCCTCCTACCATTTTATCAGTGCCATCATCTCCAAATCATAGCAGGTATTACTACCATCTTATAAACCCTCCCTTTCACTCTTGCTGCGATCCTTCTGTCTCAAATCACCCCTGACACTTGTCTCCACTCACTCCACCCTGCCTGCACTCTTCTACACCTCTCTTGTGAACTGTCTGTTGATTTGGATGGTTCAGACTCCTCTACCTCTCCTCCTTACAGCTTCACTCTTACACTTATTCACACACAGATATTCTGTCTTGCTTCTACATACTTTCATTCCTCTTCTCTCCAGTGCATAACTCCGCCTCTCCAGACTCTCCTTGACCTGTTCCCTACTCCCACTACATCACAATGTTGCTGCAAA